TTTTGAAAAAAAATGTATTGACAATTATGTTAACGAAACAACGAACTTTATCAAAGCGGTCGTTTTGGGAAAATAATTACATGCAACTTTATTAAATGTCGTCTTACATGAAGTTTAACAGTTGTGGGGGAGTTAAAACTCATTGATATTTTCTTAAAAACTACTCAATGATAAGTACAGATGCCCTTCAGGTCGGTTTCCTCTCTTCGTTAACCATCGTTAACAAAGGGGTCGTCGTTAACGATCGTTAACGAAGGGTTGTCGATAAAGATCGATAACGAAGGGTTTGTCGTTAACGATCTTTAACGAAGGTTCGTCGTTAACGATCGTTAACAAAGGGTCGTCGTTAACGAAACGACGAATTTTATAAAAACGATCGTTTTGATTAACGATCGTTTTGAAAAAAGAGCGTTTTGAAAAACGATCGGTTTAAAAACGACCATTTTTAAAAAACGAACTTTTTAAAAAACGATCGTTTTTAAAAACGATCGTTTTTAAAAACGATCGTCGTTTTCATAACGAAACAATCGTTTTTCTGAAAAATGAAAACGTTAACATCCCTAATTGTACACTGTACAGAGACACGATATTAAATCGGATGAATTTTAAGATTGCGACCATTTTTAAAATCTACGTACAATTTCCGGTTCAATGAGCACATATTTAGGCTTGTAGATTTAAAAAGGACAACTTAAAAGTTTCCAATTGGAATGAGTAAATTTAATTTGGTAAAAATAAAGATAATCCCCGTTTGAACTCTTTAAACATAAGGGTATATGTAGACTGGTTTGTAATCGGATTTTTACGTACAATTTTCGATTCAATGAGTTTAATTTTAGGCGTGTAGATCTAAAATAATAATTGTACTGTAATAGACTGTAATGTAACATTGAATATAAAATTGTGCAAACGGAGATTATCGTTTACTTTTTTCTTCGCTCCAATTGGAAACTTTAGGAGCCTATAAAATGGATATTTTTATATCTACAAGCCTAAAATTCGACTCATTGAATTGGAAATTATAGGTAGATATTAAAAATGGTCCCAATCGTTAAAATCCTATTACTAGCAAGTCTGTAGACCCTTAAACAAAACCCTACAAACGGAGATTATCTTATTTTTACAAAATTACTCACTCTAGTTAGAAACTTCAGGCGACTTTAAAATTGTCATTTTTAGATCCATAAGCTTAAAAGTGGGCTTATTGTATCGGAAATTGTACGAAGATTTAAAAATGGTCTCAATATTGAAAATCCGATTACAAATGAGTCTGTAGATCCTTATTCCCCGTTTTTTAGACACTCTGTATATGAATTTGTTTGTTTAATTATATATGTGTTTGTAATATATCATTAACACATTTTTTGGTGACAAATTTTCTTTGAATATGTATATTTAGAAGCCGCTAGAATTAAATAAATAAATTAAACAATCTATATCCGTCAACAGAATAACAAAAATTGTTTTTATTTAAAATAATCCAAATACTTGCTTAATTTAATCATTTTTAAAGGAGTTTAAACTTAGTAAGTCAATGATATATGATTTAAGAGGTTCCGTAAACAGTTGCAAAGAGTGAAGAGAAAAATTTGATAAAGAAGTCTTACCGTTATTAACATTAAAACTAAAAGAAAAACTATGAGCATCGACCGAAAAATATGGAAAGGAATTGAGTCTTTGCCACAAACGCTGATTTTCTAATCACTATATCTTTGGAACCAAATGTTGCAGACCTTAGATATTTCAAACTATGAATTCTGTTAGATCAAGTAATCTGAGTTTGAAATATCAAAGGTTTACAACATCGAGTTCTAAAGATATTGAGATTTAAATATTTGATTTTGTTCCAAAGACTCAAAACATAAAGAATATACAAAAATTTAGAGAAGAAAAATAAGGAAGCACAGGGAGATTTGGTAGGGACGGATAACTTGTTTAAAATGGATCGAAACATGATTTTCTGACGAAAAACTAAAGTAAAATTTGATCATGGATATTTATTACAAAATACAGGTGAATTCAGCTGTAAACCAGGTTACCTATTGGTTGGAAACAGGCTACTAAAATGTGGAAGAGGAGTTTGGAGTTCAAAGAGCCCTTTTTGCGCAGGTATTTTTCTCTTTGGTGCACAATTAGATTTTCATAACTTTGGTTAAATTTCTATCGTGACATTTTGAACATAATTTCAACTCAGAAAAGATGTCCCCCATCACAATAATCATCCTCATTGTTACTCAGATAGAGGTTTAAGGAGTACAGCTGTCATGTAATTTTAGAAACCCGGGATATGTTTAAAATTTAAAAAATATTATGGTTCTGTTAAAAATCGTAAATGTGATTTTTTAATAGCAATTGGTAGATGTGATCCTAATGATCTTCCCGAGATAGTGAACGGACAGAAGGTTAGAGTCAAGCAATTCCGTGGAGCAGTTTACAGGTAGATGAAAACAAGATTAAGATAAAAGCATGATAAAAACTAGGATAATTTCTTTAAATGTTCTTGGAAATATGTATTATTATTCATGTATTAAGATTATGTCTTTTAATGAGAACTTCGCCATAACTTTAAATTAATTTGAATGTAATAAATCATTCCTAATTTATCTTATTTTCCTACTTTTGTCATTTAAAATTCCATTTTAACAAATTAAGTATTTTGTGAGAAAAAATTATTGTGTTAGGACTAGATTTTCACTATTAATCTTCATACCTTTTATCATTAAAAAAAACGTATCTGTTCCCATTCAGAATGAATTCATGGAAACTGGATTGGTGTTCATACAGGGGTGTATCTAGTTGAAAGAGATTCCAACCTTATTTTGATTAAAAGAATTAGTGTTAATTCTAATGTTCTAGAGAATAATCAAAGCTCTTTTAAAAATATAATTTTGTAAATCAATTTTCTGCGATAAGATCATAAATTAATAGTCTTATTATAAATTTCTTACATTGAGACAAAAATTTTAAAAAAAGTAAAAGTAATCTTGAATTTATTCATCTTAGAAGAACGAATAATGATGTATAATCAATTCATTGAACAGGTATGAGTGTGAGAATGGGTTTTACATCTATGGTCAGAAGCAGGTGCATTGTAACGGCAACTCATGGGATCTCAGGGCAGCTCCTGTATGTTCAAGTAAGATTTTTTATCCTTAACTAAGATATTTATGTGCAAGTTGATATTTATTTTTAATTAACTTGAACATTATAATAATAGAATAGTAAAATCAGGAGTTTTCAAAATTTATTATATTTATTAGCATTAATGGATAAAAATTGAAAATAATTATGATAAAAATACAATACTGAAATATACACAGCCAACAACAACATGCCAAAATGACAAGCGCCCTTTAACACCTATAAAAAAAAAACATTTTATCAAATTCATTCTTTAGTATCTAAGACTAAATTAATGTCGACTATGAAATGTGTCCTTTACTATGACAATGTAAAGACAGAAAAGTTTTTTTGGTAATGACATTTGGCGCCCTGTATACTATTCGTCAGAACAACATCATTGAAATCTTTTTAAAATAAAAATGTATCCTAAAAGATTACTTATCTTTGATTCAAGAGTTTCAAATCAAGTTTCTTATTAGTTCTTAAAATTTTAATGTTTTCTTTATTAAATTCTTTAAAAAAAACAGAAAAAATATTAAATACATTTTTATCAATCTAAATTTTCTTCAAAGTATTAAATATATTCGGGAGCAATTTTTGACAGAGGCATTTAATAAAAAATATTTCCACTTCAGCTAAATTCTTTAAAAAAAGAATAAAGCATTACAAACCCGAAAAAAAACAAGTGATTACGAATTTTAAACAAAATTTAGCAAAAAAAGAAGTATATTTTTTTTTCATTTATAGAAACAATTAATATGGCTGGAATCAATATAAAATACACCAAAATGTGCAGACTCTTACACAAATATCAATCAGGATTATGCCAATTACTCCTTATAAAGATAGAAAGCGCGTCACAGTTTTAAAATGAATTGGCGAGGTGAACCAAAGGCAAAAAAATTGCAAAATTTAGTAAACTAACAAGATCTAGTTGATTTTTGCCTGCAAAATCAACTTAAACTAGCGCAGAAAAATTAGTTTTTCCTTTTTGATAATTTCGATCACTTAAGAATTATAAAAACCATCTACAGATTTCCAGACTTTCATTGTTGAGTTGGAAGAGATAAGTATAAATTATTTGTCAACATCTAAAGTCTATAAATCTAGATACCGGATGTAATGAGTCGCTGGTTGAAAACCTTGAATTTGGGTTTAGTAAACGTTTAGCGGAGGGAGGAATATACAGGTATTTTAATTTATTATTCCTCTTTTTTATAACCACAAGCCATATATTTTAATTAAACAGTTTTTTACTCACAGATATGAATGCAAGAGAGAAGCTACTTTGATTGGATCGCCCATGATATTCTGTGATGGAAAGCACTGGAATGACACTGCTCCAAGATGTACAAGTTAGTTTTTTTTACACAACTGCAGATATAAATATGGAAGTACATATTTTTCTCCAGACCTACCATCTCAAATATTTGAACCTTTAACTAACATTTTGTTTAAAGCAAATCTTAATCGGGGAGTTTCTGGTCTAAGATTTAAATTTTAACAAGAATACAACTCAATCGTAAAAAAATATTTTGGGCCATTTTCGATTTTGTTCTTATTACCAACCCCCATTCTAATATTTTTAAGTTTACTTTTATTAATATTTTTTACAAGAGCATAGAAAAACGTTAGTTTTGTATATTTTGTTCTTAGTCCCATTCACGAATAAATGGGACAACAATGCAGATTTATTGTTAATTTCTTGCAGTTGGTCCAGCCAGTGTAAAGCTATCTGGACCGAATGGGACAAACATGCAGATTTATTATTCATTTCTTGCAGTTGGTCCAGCCAATGTAAAGATATCTGGACCGAATGACTTGAAGTTAAATATTAAATCTGAGTTGAACTGTGAGAGTGAAGAATCTGTTCCTCCAGCCGAGATCTCCTGGACAATCAAGGATTTTAGAGGAAATAATTTGTCCCACCTAGGAGAGGTAAATAATGCAGTACTTGGCTTTTTACCCCAAGGTTTTTTAGGGCTATGCATGATTAGAACAACAAATACCTTAATTCAATATTTTTTCTGAAACGATATAGGTATTAAAAAACCTTTTTCAAGACAATTATAGGTTTTTTATTTCACGAATGTTTTGGTTTATAATCCAACTTTTGTATAAATGCGTTTTTAACCCTATCTCTGCTGGGGTACTTGAAAACCAGGATATGCTGGGGGGGGGCCTCAATTTGACCCCCCCCCCCTCTAAATCCTATGTTTTATGTCCAAATATGACAAATGATACATCATTGGAAAGCTCTCGTGCTCTACTTTTAGAATCTGCAAAAACATTTGCAAATTTGCAAAACTTGAATTTTTTATCGCAAAATCCAGTTATATAGTAAAGATGTTTGCAAAAAAAATTCGTCCAAAAATGAAAAATTATACATTTTTGAAAAGCCCTTCACCATGCCATTTCAAATATGCAAAAAAATTTTGCAAAATTTTAAATAACCTGATTTTTAATCAAGAAAAACTAAAAATCTGCAAATTTTCTTTGACAGGTTGTTTGCAAAACATTTGCAATTTTTTTTCGCAAAACTTGTGCAATTCGTTTCCTTATGTCAAAGGCTTTACAAAAAGCTAAATTTTATCAAAATCTGACAAGTGGAAGTGTGTCAAAACAAAGATTTAGTTTTTCACATTCTAAATAAAGAAATAAAGCTGAAGCAATATTTACCGGAAGCATGGAACTGGAAACCGGAAAATGAAAATTGGAGACTGGTACTTTATTGTTTGATTTCCAAGCGTTAATTGATAAGTATAATATCTAAATCACGACAAAGTGGGCATTGTCCTGACATAACATATTGAAATTTTATATTTCATTTTACATATTGAAAGTTTTCAATCTCATGCTGTCGAGGAGTGTTTTATACACAATTTGTACAGAAATAAAATGGAAAATAATCTGTGTTTTACTTATCAGATATATATATATATATATATTTTCCTCTAAACTATCCCATACAAGCTACTTTTTCTCTAAACTATCAGCAACAAAATAATATAATATACAGGGGTGAAGATGAGAGGAGAATCCTAACTCTCTTACTTCTACTCTATATATCTTGTTATATATCTGATAAGTAAAACACAGATTATATATATATATATATATATTGAAATTTTTCTAATCTAAAAGTGTTTTAACCGCCTTTTGACTGTCCCCGGTGACACTTAAATGTCTCTCTGAAGTGTTTTTGTAAACAAATTCGAGGATTATCTCTCCTTGATAAAGTTAACACAGCTAAAATTTTGGGATGATAAAGCTTGTAGTTCCCAATACGCGGTATAAATTTTTTTCTACGACCCTGAAAAATGTCAAATTAAATCAATTTATATGTTAAGGGTCGAGATTCGTATTTACGGGACCTTTCTCTGTTCCAGATACTGATCAGTTTGTAAAATCTTGTTTTCTGAGATGACAAATGAATGCGTTTTCATTTTCCTTTTTTTACAGTTTATATCTTAGAGACACGGTTATTATTTAATGACCGCATTTTATTTATGGAGTTAAGATACTAAAAGGTTTGGCAAGGCCAAATCGTATAGCGGAAAATGCCACAAATAATTTATAAACAAAACTTCAACTTCAAATCGTTATTTTATTTCTAGCGCGGTATATTTATAGATTTTCTTTCAAAAATGATGATCAATAAATAAAGCTTTAACGATTTTGTATACACCACAAGGTCATAAACAAGGGTCAGTATTTTCTTAATTTTAAGGCACAAACAATTTAAAGTTAACATTTTTTCCCCAATTACAAATTGAGGAGCGAACATGCCGCAAAACACGTTTGGGTGGTTCTGACCAGAGAGACAAAATATTAACAAAGTTTAAAAATAAAAGTCTGTATTTGTGAAGTTAAGTTAAGGTCAATAAAAATCTCTCCCAACCAATTTGATTTTTCAATAGTTGATCAAAGGTGGAATATAAAAAATAAAGCAAATATCATTTGGAAAATTTGGATGTTGTAAAAGAAATAAGAAAAAAAATAAAGTTACTTTTTTTTTCCATTTTAATATTTCTTCAATATTATTTATTTATTACAATAGAATTTTTAAGTTTAATCTAAATGATTTTTACTGTTGTAGGCTATGTCAATAAATGGACCACATGTGCAATTCCCTCAAATGTCTAAACTGTTATCTAGTAACCCCCCCCCCCCCTGCTTTTCCTTCTAATGACTCCTCCTCTCGTATCTTCCTCCGTTCACGTAAATATGTATTTACCGCTGAGCGGTCATTGAGTCTAACTAAGAATAAGGGGGTGAATTCCGGGTTGGGTTTGGGTACTGCACTAGTAGTTAGCTCAGTTCTTCAGTTAAACGCAGAACTTCTTACGGAGAGCATCTTGGCAAGATTGCGCAGATAAATAAAGTGAAAATGTTTGGACCAGTTTTAGCAAAGTGAAGATAGTTAACAACTGATTGATTGATTAATGAATATCAAGCTTTGATTAAACCTAAACTAACTATGAAAGCTATCGTATTTTTCTTAACTTTATCGTCCGTGTTTGCAGGTAAGGTTTATAAAATTCGAAATCTAGTATAATTATACAGAGTACAGACAATGTATATCTTTAAAACCCCAATCATTAAAAGAGTCTTAACATCAAAAACTTCAGACTGGATGTTTTTCCGCATTCAAACTTTATTACAAATTTTTGTTGAAAACGTTGCAAATTGCTACCCTCTGAATCTTTTTCCCTTTAATGAAAAAAATAGTATTGTTAAAACTATTTTAAAAATATTGTTTAAAGAAAAGAATTTTTAGGTGTGACAACAACAAACTACTCCTAATCTTATAAACAGACAGCATTTTAACTAATTAAAATTGTGATTTGAAATTCTAAATGGTATAATTCCGCAGAAGAAAATATACCTTGTTATTTAGATAAATGTGAGGTGCCAAGTCTAGAAAATGGAATTGTAATTGGACAAGGAACTAGCGATAGATGGATGGGTAATACCTTTAAATACTTTCTTATACAATCAGAAAAGAAAAGAAATTGAAGAATTGTACATAGGGTTGTTAATCGTTTTTGTAAACGATCGTTAAACGATCGTTTTTTTGTTTCGTTTTTAAAAACGATCGTTTTTAAAAACGACCCACTCGTTTTGAACTTTTAGAAAAAGAATAGCGATCGTTTTTGAAAATGATCGTGTTTATTAAAACGATTTGTGAGCTTTTTTATACGATTGTTTTTTAAAAAAACGATCGTTTTTGAAAAAAAATGTATTGACAATTATGTTAACGAAACAACGAACTTTATCAAAGCGGTCGTTTTGGGAAAATAATTACATGCAACTTTATTAAATGTCGTCTTACATGAAGTTTAACAGTTGTGGGGGAGTTAAAACTCATTGATATTTTCTTAAAAACTACTCAATGATAAGTACAGATGCCCTTCAGGTCGGTTTCCTCTCTTCGTTAACCATCGTTAACAAAGGGGTCGTCGTTAACGATCGTTAACGAAGGGTTGTCGATAAAGATCGATAACGAAGGGTTTGTCGTTAACGATCTTTAACGAAGGTTCGTCGTTAACGATCGTTAACAAAGGGTCGTCGTTAACGAAACGACGAATTTTATAAAAACGATCGTTTTGATTAACGATCGTTTTGAAAAAAGAGCGTTTTGAAAAACGATCGGTTTAAAAACGACCATTTTTAAAAAACGAACTTTTTAAAAAACGATCGTTTTTAAAAACGATCGTTTTTAAAAACGATCGTCGTTTTCATAACGAAACAATCGTTTTTCTGAAAAATGAAAACGTTAACATCCCTAATTGTACACTGTACAGAGACACGATATTAAATCGGATGAATTTTAAGATTGCGACCATTTTTAAAATCTACGTACAATTTCCGGTTCAATGAGCACATATTTAGGCTTGTAGATTTAAAAAGGACAACTTAAAAGTTTCCAATTGGAATGAGTAAATTTAATTTGGTAAAAATAAAGATAATCCCCGTTTGAACTCTTTAAACATAAGGGTATATGTAGACTGGTTTGTAATCGGATTTTTACGTACAATTTTCGATTCAATGAGTTTAATTTTAGGCGTGTAGATCTAAAATAATAATTGTACTGTAATAGACTGTAATGTAACATTGAATATAAAATTGTGCAAACGGAGATTATCGTTTACTTTTTTCTTCGCTCCAATTGGAAACTTTAGGAGCCTATAAAATGGATATTTTTATATCTACAAGCCTAAAATTCGACTCATTGAATTGGAAATTATAGGTAGATATTAAAAATGGTCCCAATCGTTAAAATCCTATTACTAGCAAGTCTGTAGACCCTTAAACAAAACCCTACAAACGGAGATTATCTTATTTTTACAAAATTACTCACTCTAGTTAGAAACTTCAGGCGACTTTAAAATTGTCATTTTTAGATCCATAAGCTTAAAAGTGGGCTTATTGTATCGGAAATTGTACGAAGATTTAAAAATGGTCTCAATATTGAAAATCCGATTACAAATGAGTCTGTAGATCCTTATTCCCCGTTTTTTAGACACTCTGTATATGAATTTGTTTGTTTAATTATATATGTGTTTGTAATATATCATTAACACATTTTTTGGTGACAAATTTTCTTTGAATATGTATATTTAGAAGCCGCTAGAATTAAATAAATAAATTAAACAATCTATATCCGTCAACAGAATAACAAAAATTGTTTTTATTTAAAATAATCCAAATACTTGCTTAATTTAATCATTTTTAAAGGAGTTTAAACTTAGTAAGTCAATGATATATGATTTAAGAGGTTCCGTAAACAGTTGCAAAGAGTGAAGAGAAAAATTTGATAAAGAAGTCTTACCGTTATTAACATTAAAACTAAAAGAAAAACTATGAGCATCGACCGAAAAATATGGAAAGGAATTGAGTCTTTGCCACAAACGCTGATTTTCTAATCACTATATCTTTGGAACCAAATGTTGCAGACCTTAGATATTTCAAACTATGAATTCTGTTAGATCAAGTAATCTGAGTTTGAAATATCAAAGGTTTACAACATCGAGTTCTAAAGATATTGAGATTTAAATATTTGATTTTGTTCCAAAGACTCAAAACATAAAGAATATACAAAAATTTAGAGAAGAAAAATAAGGAAGCACAGGGAGATTTGGTAGGGACGGATAACTTGTTTAAAATGGATCGAAACATGATTTTCTGACGAAAAACTAAAGTAAAATTTGATCATGGATATTTATTACAAAATACAGGTGAATTCAGCTGTAAACCAGGTTACCTATTGGTTGGAAACAGGCTACTAAAATGTGGAAGAGGAGTTTGGAGTTCAAAGAGCCCTTTTTGCGCAGGTATTTTTCTCTTTGGTGCACAATTAGATTTTCATAACTTTGGTTAAATTTCTATCGTGACATTTTGAACATAATTTCAACTCAGAAAAGATGTCCCCCATCACAATAATCATCCTCATTGTTACTCAGATAGAGGTTTAAGGAGTACAGCTGTCATGTAATTTTAGAAACCCGGGATATGTTTAAAATTTAAAAAATATTATGGTTCTGTTAAAAATCGTAAATGTGATTTTTTAATAGCAATTGGTAGATGTGATCCTAATGATCTTCCCGAGATAGTGAACGGACAGAAGGTTAGAGTCAAGCAATTCCGTGGAGCAGTTTACAGGTAGATGAAAACAAGATTAAGATAAAAGCATGATAAAAACTAGGATAATTTCTTTAAATGTTCTTGGAAATATGTATTATTATTCATGTATTAAGATTATGTCTTTTAATGAGAACTTCGCCATAACTTTAAATTAATTTGAATGTAATAAATCATTCCTAATTTATCTTATTTTCCTACTTTTGTCATTTAAAATTCCATTTTAACAAATTAAGTATTTTGTGAGAAAAAATTATTGTGTTAGGACTAGATTTTCACTATTAATCTTCATACCTTTTATCATTAAAAAAAACGTATCTGTTCCCATTCAGAATGAATTCATGGAAACTGGATTGGTGTTCATACAGGGGTGTATCTAGTTGAAAGAGATTCCAACCTTATTTTGATTAAAAGAATTAGTGTTAATTCTAATGTTCTAGAGAATAATCAAAGCTCTTTTAAAAATATAATTTTGTAAATCAATTTTCTGCGATAAGATCATAAATTAATAGTCTTATTATAAATTTCTTACATTGAGACAAAAATTTTAAAAAAAGTAAAAGTAATCTTGAATTTATTCATCTTAGAAGAACGAATAATGATGTATAATCAATTCATTGAACAGGTATGAGTGTGAGAATGGGTTTTACATCTATGGTCAGAAGCAGGTGCATTGTAACGGCAACTCATGGGATCTCAGGGCAGCTCCTGTATGTTCAAGTAAGATTTTTTATCCTTAACTAAGATATTTATGTGCAAGTTGATATTTATTTTTAATTAACTTGAACATTATAATAATAGAATAGTAAAATCAGGAGTTTTCAAAATTTATTATATTTATTAGCATTAATGGATAAAAATTGAAAATAATTATGATAAAAATACAATACTGAAATATACACAGCCAACAACAACATGCCAAAATGACAAGCGCCCTTTAACACCTATAAAAAAAAAACATTTTATCAAATTCATTCTTTAGTATCTAAGACTAAATTAATGTCGACTATGAAATGTGTCCTTTACTATGACAATGTAAAGACAGAAAAGTTTTTTTGGTAATGACATTTGGCGCCCTGTATACTATTCGTCAGAACAACATCATTGAAATCTTTTTAAAATAAAAATGTATCCTAAAAGATTACTTATCTTTGATTCAAGAGTTTCAAATCAAGTTTCTTATTAGTTCTTAAAATTTTAATGTTTTCTTTATTAAATTCTTTAAAAAAAACAGAAAAAATATTAAATACATTTTTATCAATCTAAATTTTCTTCAAAGTATTAAATATATTCGGGAGCAATTTTTGACAGAGGCATTTAATAAAAAATATTTCCACTTCAGCTAAATTCTTTAAAAAAAGAATAAAGCATTACAAACCCGAAAAAAAACAAGTGATTACGAATTTTAAACAAAATTTAGCAAAAAAAGAAGTATATTTTTTTTTCATTTATAGAAACAATTAATATGGCTGGAATCAATATAAAATACACCAAAATGTGCAGACTCTTACACAAATATCAATCAGGATTATGCCAATTACTCCTTATAAAGATAGAAAGCGCGTCACAGTTTTAAAATGAATTGGCGAGGTGAACCAAAGGCAAAAAAATTGCAAAATTTAGTAAACTAACAAGATCTAGTTGATTTTTGCCTGCAAAATCAACTTAAACTAGCGCAGAAAAATTAGTTTTTCCTTTTTGATAATTTCGATCACTTAAGAATTATAAAAACCATCTACAGATTTCCAGACTTTCATTGTTGAGTTGGAAGAGATAAGTATAAATTATTTGTCAACATCTAAAGTCTATAAATCTAGATACCGGATGTAATGAGTCGCTGGTTGAAAACCTTGAATTTGGGTTTAGTAAACGTTTAGCGGAGGGAGGAATATACAGGTATTTTAATTTATTATTCCTCTTTTTTATAACCACAAGCCATATATTTTAATTAAACAGTTTTTTACTCACAGATATGAATGCAAGAGAGAAGCTACTTTGATTGGATCGCCCATGATATTCTGTGATGGAAAGCACTGGAATGACACTGCTCCAAGATGTACAAGTTAGTTTTTTTTACACAACTGCAGATATAAATATGGAAGTACATATTTTTCTCCAGACCTACCATCTCAAATATTTGAACCTTTAACTAACATTTTGTTTAAAGCAAATCTTAATCGGGGAGTTTCTGGTCTAAGATTTAAATTTTAACAAGAATACAACTCAATCGTAAAAAAATATTTTGGGCCATTTTCGATTTTGTTCTTATTACCAACCCCCATTCTAATATTTTTAAGTTTACTTTTATTAATATTTTTTACAAGAGCATAGAAAAACGTTAGTTTTGTATATTTTGTTCTTAGTCCCATTCACGAATAAATGGGACAACAATGCAGATTTATTGTTAATTTCTTGCAGTTGGTCCAGCCAGTGTAAAGCTATCTGGACCGAATGGGACAAACATGCAGATTTATTATTCATTTCTTGCAGTTGGTCCAGCCAATGTAAAGATATCTGGACCGAATGACTTGAAGTTAAATATTAAATCTGAGTTGAACTGTGAGAGTGAAGAATCTGTTCCTCCAGCCGAGATCTCCTGGACAATCAAGGATTTTAGAGGAAATAATTTGTCCCACCTAGGAGAGGTAAATAATGCAGTACTTGGCTTTTTACCCCAAGGTTTTTTAGGGCTATGCATGATTAGAACAACAAATACCTTAATTCAATATTTTTTCTGAAACGATATAGGTATTAAAAAACCTTTTTCAAGACAATTATAGGTTTTTTATTTCACGAATGTTTTGGTTTATAATCCAACTTTTGTATAAATGCGTTTTTAACCCTATCTCTGCTGGGGTACTTGAAAACCAGGATATGCTGGGGGGGGGCCTCAATTTGACCCCCCCCCCCTCTAAATCCTATGTTTTATGTCCAAATATGACAAATGATACATCATTGGAAAGCTCTCGTGCTCTACTTTTAGAATCTGCAAAAACATTTGCAAATTTGCAAAACTTGAATTTTTTATCGCAAAATCCAGTTATATAGTAAAGATGTTTGCAAAAAAAATTCGTCCAAAAATGAAAAATTATACATTTTTGAAAAGCCCTTCACCATGCCATTTCAAATATGCAAAAAAATTTTGCAAAATTTTAAATAACCTGATTTTTAATCAAGAAAAACTAAAAATCTGCAAATTTTCTTTGACAGGTTGTTTGCAAAACATTTGCAATTTTTTTTCGCAAAACTTGTGCAATTCGTTTCCTTATGTCAAAGGCTTTACAAAAAGCTAAATTTTATCAAAATCTGACAAGTGGAAGTGTGTCAAAACAAAGATTTAGTTTGTTACAGGAAAAAGCAGTCATTCAGGCAGTGTGCCTGAGGACTCAGGCAGTTAGTATTAAAGCCCGGTTTTAGGCCTAAAGTGAGGGCTTTGGGTATGTAGGAAAAGTCAGAAAATTTCAACAGCCTCAGACCAATACTTTTTGAGTTATGTAAAAAAACTACAGGGGGGGTCAAATTGACCTTCCCCCCCAGCAGGAATAGGGTTAAGAAAAATCAACAATTTAAAACAAGACTCACTTTTATTAAACAGAAAATTATTGTATTAATAACTAACAACTAAAAAACTATCTTGAAAAGATTAAATATTTTGATATTCTGTGACCACATTATATTTGTAAAATACAAACAATAAATATGATTGATTTTCTGCATTTACTTACAAATTTAAATTATTCATTCTCCTTCTCATAAACAGGAGTTATAATAGAAAATATGTAAGATTTCGATCAATAAAATTAGATAATAAATACCAAGTGAATTTTTAAGCATGCAATCGGGGTGATTGAATCATAACTTCTTTTAATTCAGGTCTCTCAATCCAAGGTGTACTGGGTTGAAAAAGGCTGGCGTACGATAAGCACAGTTACTCTAAAACCGATGCAAGCTTTTCCTTCTTTATTGGTTACATGTTCTGGCAGTACTGAGAACGAGGTTAATTTGGTGATTGACACCAAACTACTCAATACTCAATGTAAGCAATATTATCAAAACAAACAATAAATAACTTATTCTTAAATTCATATATGTTTAGAAAAAAAAATTGAGGAATTATCAATATAAAAAATGTCAAATGTCAATATTAAAAAATATATTTATTTGTCGAAAAGTAGAGGATTGAGATTAAGAAAATATAAAATATGATAAGATAAACTATGGTTAACTTATAGAAGCATTTATACCCATAAAACTGTGGAATGGGAATACGTGATTTAAGCAATCTTTTTTGCACTTAATTATGTTTCGATATAATACAAATATGTTTACCAGTGACTAGGAAATCAAATTATTAAGTGTAATTGCCGGGTATACAATTGTTTTGTGTACATGTTCATTGCATTTTTTATCATCGAAACTTGAGTCTGATAGTCGTCTTCCTATTCTACAGTTTTATAGGTCTTATTGTTTTACTATAGATTGATAAGAAACAAAAACAATAGTAATATATATAATATACATTGAAAAGAATTTGTTCATATATTTCATTTCAATCTTTAATACATTTTGTCAACTTTAATGTATTTCATCATGACAAAAATCTACCAATACAAGCTCATGTTATTTAATGCATTACATCTAATTACTTAAAAATTTACTTTCTAAAAATGAGGACGAGTTGATTTATGAAATTAAAAAAATGAGTATGCTAATATTGTTCCATAAAACTTTTAAATATAAAATTCAGAGTACTTTTCTAAGTTTTAATAGAATACTAGGCGTTTAGGGGGCTTCGCACCCATCTTCTATTTAAATTGTGAACATGTTCTTTTGTTTACATTTTAAAACAAAGAAGAAAAAAATTTTGCGGATTTTAAAAAAAAAATTCGCGGATTTTCAAGAATTTAAATTTTTTTACTAAATTAAAAACCTTTAAAACACATTTTTTAATTTTTATCATTCATAAACATTCCCTGTGGTCACGTGATGTCCCACAACAAATTTGGGCCCGATCGGTTCAGCAGTTTTGACGTTTATTGGATACAAACAAACAGACAAACACCCAAACAGACAGACAAGCCAAATTTATATATAGATGAATATTAAAGAATACCAAATGAATATCAAAGAATATCAAATTCTAAAGTAGTTTTTGTAATATATAAATTGTTCAACAAATGTTGTAGATCCCCCAGAGACAGTTAGAGTATATGGACAGGACATGGGAAAAGATGGAGAGATACTATTGCTAGAATGTGATAGTTCCCCTAGTTATCCACCTTCTTCTTTGTCATGGAGAATTGAACAGGATGGAAAAAGTAGTATTGTTCTTGGACAGGAAATACTGAAAAGAAAGGCAAGTGAAAACCGGGAAAAATTAGCTTGTGTTGTTTGCAACATTTTTGGCTTTTGGCTTAACGAATTTTTGTGCACGTGCAAAAGGAAAAAAAATACACAAATTTAGAAAATCAAATATTATCTCGATCAAATTTTATAATGATGTTAGGCGATTACATGACATGATGGGAAATTTTCCGAAAACCTAGGCATTTGGGAAATTTCCCAGATACCCAGGCATTTGGGAAATTCCCCAAATGTCTGGGTATTTGGGGAATTCCCCAAATGCCTGGGTATTGTGGAAATTTACAGTCATTTGAGAAATTTCCAAAATCTTAAAAATATACCACACTCAAAAATCTGTAGGTATTTGGGAAATTTCCCAGAAACCCAGGCATTTGGGAAATTTCCCAGATACCCAGGCATTTGGGAAATTCCCCAAATTCCTGTAGATATTTGAGGATGGTATATTTTTAAGATTTTTGAAATTTCTCAAATGACTGGATATTTGGGGAATTTCCCAAAAACCTAGGCATTTGGGATATTTCCCAGATACCCAGGCATTTGGGAAATTTCTCAAATACCCAAGCATTTGGGAAATTCCCCAAATTCCTCTAGGTATTTGAGGGTGGTATATTTTTAAGATTTTGGAAATTTCTCAAATGACTGGATATTTGGGGAATTTCTAGAAAACCTAGGCAATTGGGAAATTTCCCAGAAACCCAGGCAGTTGGGAAATTTCCCAGATACCCAGGCATNTAGGTATTTGAGGGTGGTATATTTTTAAGATTTTGGAAATTTCTCAAATGACTGGATATTTGGGGAATTTCCCTAAAACCTAGGCATTTGGGATATTTCCCAGACACCCAGGCATTTGGGAAATTTCCCAGATACCCAAGCATTTGGGAAATTCCCCAAATTTCTCTAGGTATTTGACGGTGGTATATTTTTAAGATTTTGGAAATTTCTCAAATGACTGGATATTTGAGAAATTTCACAGATACCCAGGCATTTGGGAAATTTTCCAGATACCCAGGCATTTGGGAAATTTCCCAGATACCCAGGCACTTGAGAAATTTCCCAGATGCTCAGGCATTTGAGGGTGGTATATTTTTAAGCTTTTGGAAACTTCTCAAATGACTGGATATGTCTCCCAAAAACCTAGGCATTTGGGAAAACCCCCAAATATCTGGGTATTTGGGAAATTCCTCAAATGTCTGGGTATTTGGGGAATTCCCCAAATGCCTGGGTATTGTGGAAATTTACAGTCATTTGAGAAATTTCCAAAATCTTAAAAATATACCACACTCAAAAATCTGTAGGTATTTGGGAAATTTCTGAGATACCCAGGCATTTGGAAAATTTCCCAGATACCCAGGCATTTGAGAAATTCCTATTTTGACATTTTTGATAATTGCTGTCACTCCCTTGGCGATTAACAGGGAATGTTTTTTTTTTGAAATATAAATCTTGCTGCAGGAGGATGTGGCTACCTCTTGCGGTTTTTTTTTACAAAAAATGTATATATATTATTTACAGGATGATGGAAGCTTCATGACACGGTCACTTCTCAGCATAGTAGCTTCACATGATTCTAATCATAGCATGGTAGTTAAATGTTCTGCCTCGCATCCTCTCCTATACGATGATCAAGTTTCATATACTCATACCATTCAGATATTGTGTAAGTTTTTAAACGTTTAGTCTAAAAATTTGTGTATTGGTTAACGGCTTTGACCGTTAGCTTTTATTGACTTTCTGATTTCTACTTTTACTCCGAACTGGAAATTTTAAAAAAATTACCCAGCTATGAAAATATTTTTCATTTTAATAGGCTTTTGCTAATTTTGTTGCGGATCTTTTCATTTTGGCGTATTTTAATTTTGACTTAATAAAAAAAATTATTTTTAAAATGTGCAAATTTCGGATTTTAAAAAGTATGAAGTATCTTCAAATTTCGTTTCACAAATTAGCTCTCTTGAGTTTAATTGTTAGTTATATATCCCATGTTTTGAAGTAAACCCCTATGTTCGTGGGTGGCCTCTGGAAGTAGGCCCCTATATGTGAGGTCCCCAGATTTGCAGTCCCTGAATGTGAATCCCTGCATGAATGATCCACGGAAGTGACCCAACAATGTGTGGTCACTAGGAAATCGTAAAATTCATGAAATGAAAGTTTTACAACTCTCAAAAACTAACTGCATAATGCATTTTTTAATATCAAACAATTCTTTTCTGTCTAAGAAATTACGAATCCATAAATAATCTTTTCCGTCTACAAAATGTCCTATTTATGATTTTTATATCTTTTAAATGTTTTTTTATTATGAAATGTCGCAACACCGAAGATACAATTTTCCCTTATGCTTAATAAACGCATTTTAGGCCCGCCCGGAGTCCCGAAAATAAGTAGCCCTGTAAAGTCCCTTGAAGTAGGTCGACAGCAACAGCTAAGCTGTTATACAAAGGCTGGAAATCCACCTGCTCTGTTACAATGGTATAATGGGGATCAGTTGTTAGAGAGTCAATACAGGTAACGAATTAGTTCACATTGATTCAAAAGAGACGTTTTATGTTGAATTCTTGCAAGGAGCACCATATATGCTGGACTGTAGGGTTTATGCATGTTATCCTCTTGATAAGACCAAATGTGTATACTGGAAATTATACCTTTCGGGTGAAACGAACTAGTGAATGTGAAACGAGTTGACCAATGCCAGTAAAATAAAAATAAAAGTTTATAAGTGAAATTAATTATAAAAACTAACTATTCGAAATTCTTCTGATTCAATATAAAAACAATTAATTTTACATGCCTTCAAGTTCCAACTAAGAATTTAATTGTATTGGTCAACTAGCCTAAGGCTAATTGACTTAAAGTATAATACAAGTTTTATTATGAAAATGTTAAAAAATTAAAAGGAATATGGACTGCTACATTATGCTTTAGGTGTGTACAGTATATCCATACACTCTATCAGAAAGAAATCAATTTTAGTCATCTGATACAAAACATTTAGAATCCTACCTGCTTAAAGGGACTGTTAAGGTAAAATGAAAGCTGGTAAATTCTAAAGCCTAGAAATTCTAGGCGTTTATCGCGACCAATGATATTTCTATCTGATGTCCCTGTCTCGAGAAATGAAATAAAACCGTGTCCGAGTAATAAAAACTCTACTATAATGATCTGGTCGACACTCGACGGAGCCTCGTGACAAGAAACTGCACTGCGTCTGGTCATGTTATGCATACGAAACAAGATTAAATCAAATTACATCTATTAAGAATGAATAAGCACTATATTCAAAGTATACCTACAATTTCTGGGCACCTCTGGAGTTTTAGATTAGTTTCGTATTTACTAATTATGATCTGTTTAAACTTTGATGCAATTAACATGTCAAATATATTATAATTTTCGTTTAATTCAGACACAGTTTTATAGCATTTCTTTTCAAAACAGGGATATCAGATAGAACTATTATTGGTCGCGATCAACTCTTAAAATTTATAAGGCTTTAGCATATACCCCCTTTTATTTTACCTTACCAGTCCCTTTAAGCTATATGTTGATTCATTTTATAATTCCCCCTTCTTACATTTCATAGTAAATATATCGACTCAACTCATGAATACCCTTTTAACAATTCAGTTAACCAGGAGGGAGATTCTCTTTGTCAGCAATTAACTATGTATTTAATACAACTGTTTGGAAACTAGCTGACAAAAAGAATCAGACCGGTGACATGGCTCAAATTTGGTCGTGTGTCCGACGTTAGGATTAAACTATGTCAGGCTGAAAAGCCTTTACCTATAAGGGATTGTGATCGATGGCATACCCCTTGTAGGTCAAGGAGCTGTTGGACGCATCCCTAGCTGTTTGATATGATATGATATGAAGCTTCTCTATGTTTATGTATTTCTGGGTATCTCCATTTTAAGTAATCGGGAAAAAAAAACAGTTAATCAGTTTTTATTTAGATTGGAAGGAGATATAGCAGTTGCAAATGTATCTTTTGTGTTGTATAAACCTGAAAAATTTACATGTGAAGCAACTAACGCAGCAGTTAATGAGCCGGTCAGGAAATCAATCGAGGTAAGGCGAAGCTGTGTTTTATTTCAATTTATTATCATAATTTTATTTGAATGCAATATTTATAAAAATGTTTACTTTTTTAAAATTTAAAAGGCACTGATCATATATTTTTAGATAAATGTACAATATATATCAACAACTTCATCTACCCCGGAGAAAAAAACTACTACTTTTACTACTACTACATCCACTATGATATCATTAAGAGCGACAACAATTAATAACTCAACAACATTAAATGGTGATTTATTTAAAGACCAGTTTCGTCAAAATTCTTCGACGAAGAGATCTAGGATCTATGATGAATATGACTACAGTCACTTTAACTATGTTAACGAGCTAATGAACCAGAGTTTTGTAGAAACTATACTAGAGGTCGGTGACGAGTATTATGAGGACATGTTAGGAGAGTACGATGGTAATCAAGAGGTTTATGAGGACTTGCAAGAGAATAGCAAAGAACCTAAAGAAAACTACGATGAATATCAAAAGGATTACAAGACAGGTCAAGAGGTATACCAACCAAAATATAACGAACTCCTGAAATTCTCCGAAGAATCAAAAAATGCAACAGAAGTAACAAAATTAAGTGGCATCCAAAATCAAAATCATGGTAACAAGGAGACATCCGCTGAAAATTTGCATAGAAAATACAGCATGAATGAAAACATTGAAGTTGTTGAGGTTATTGGGGAGGACCTATTTGACAAAAAGGAAAATGACAGTAAACCTTTCAACCGAGAAACACAGCATGTCTCCAACGTCAAAAAGAAAATGAAAAACATAGAAAACGAGACATTTGTTAAAGGATTCCGATTAACTATGAACAATACTGGGTCTGTCCCGGTCCTATCCCCTCTAAACCTCTTGATAATCTACACGTCTATCTACTAAAACTAAACTAAACTAAACTAAAAGTATAATGGGAGGGTTCAAAGAAGGGATTGTGCTGTACGGCCTGATGTATGGCTGTGAAAACAATAATAAACATTTAAAAATGATCTAAGTATTTAATACAAGGAAAAAATGGGGAGACTCATTTATTTTTATTTTAAGAGCTTTTCAACTAATATACTTGAAGTGAAGTGAATCGTTTAAGATGCCTGAGATAAAGTGAAGCTTAGCTTTTATTTGGTCGGATTAAACCTCAGATCCATCGAAGTCGATAAAAACCGATTAAAACTTGCATATTAAATATTACGATTAATTTGTTAAAAAAGTAGAACACATTTAAAAGTTTTAAAACTTTATTATGGCATAGAAAGGGTTTTATTTATTTACTCGATACATTTGCTCTTTTTTTTCAGTGTTATTTCTGAATCGTCTTCTAGTAATTTGTAAAATGTATAAATGTATATATTTAGACTGTGCATATTTGATGCATAAAACTATAGATTTGAACTAGAGTTTCAAATTTTTCACCAGAATTTTTTTCCGGCGGAAATTATGATTACCGGAAAAGACAAACTGGAAAACGGAATTCCGCTAATTTTCCAACACGGAAATGTTCTTCTTCTGGCGGAAATTTAAATTTTCATTGTTTAGTTGAATTCAGTATATAAAAATTTGTAAATAGTTTTTATTGTCAAATTTTTTTCAAATTGTTTTGGCAAAAGTTTTAAAATCATTATCTATGTCCTGCCTCATAGTATGAATACTCTAACGAAAAAATAATAAAATCAAATTGTAGAAAAAAACTGAATGTTTTAGCTCTTACAAGCTAGGGCCATTCTAAAGTTCAGACTTAATACCCAAAGAAATAATAATTAAATTAAATGTTAAGGGTATAGGTTAAAGCCTATAAATTTTAGAAGTTGATTGCGACCAATATAAGTTCTATCTGCAGCGCCTGAGCTGTCTCGAGAAAATGATATAAAACAGTGTCCAAGTTATCCGAAAACTCAAATATATGTGACATGTTATTGGATTTAAAGTTTAAACAGCAAATACAGGGTGTCCCAAAAAACATGGGAATTCAGTGACGAATTCGATATCGTCTTTTTAACTAATTCTTAAATTTAGTTTAGTGATACCTACTGAGAAAGCTGTAATCTGTAAGAGTTTCGTCTGCTATGTTCAGATTTTGTTTGTTTATGTTTTGACTGCAATAGGTTGTACTTAGTAAAACAAGAAAATTGCAGTATACAAACAGAGTAAACTTGTCCGTATTCACTCTTCATCTTGCGGAGACATTATCGACACATATTAACAGTCTTTTACCCTTTTCATAAAATAAACTCTAGCAGACATAATAATATTATGGCTTTTGAAATTAGGTATTACAATGCTAATTCATAACAAAGACGATATCGAATTCGTCACTGAATTCCCATGTTTTTTGGGACACCCTGTACGTTCTGAATCTGAAAATTACGTTAACCCAGAGGTACTTAGAAATTTTAGGTACGCTATTATTTGTCGCAATCAACGCCTAAAGGAACTGAGTTTTTGCCACAAACTAAAAATTTATAATTCCTATATCTTTAGAACCTAATGGTTCAAACCTTTGATATTTCAAACTCTTAAATTATTTGATCCAACATAAATCATAGTTTGAAATATTAGGTCTACAATTATGTGTTTAAAAGTTATAGGGTATAGAAAATCAGAGCTTGTGGCAAAAACTCAATTCCTTTCGAGACTTTTTCCTATACCCTCTTTTATTTTACCTTAACAATTCCTTTAATTATCTGTTTTTTTAAATCCCAGACCCCGATAAAAACTTACTATTTATTTTTAAACTCGTTAAAATAAAAATGAAACGTTTTTGCTTAATTAGAATAAATTTGACATCTTGATTATTCAAATGTTGTAAATCGGACACACCAAAATACAAATTGAGGTCATTTGAAACTACGCCTACAGTCCCTTTAAAACCACCTTTAAAGGGACTGACCGGCTATATAAGGTAGTTGAACTGAGTATGCAGTATTGTGGAAACCTTCTTTAGGATTCATTTGAGACATATTGAACTTTTTAAAGATCTGTAAATCCTGAGTTTGAGCGCACTTTCGACGCTCAAAACTCCTACTTTTGTGGTGGATACGTTTTCAGAATCGTTTTTTTTAAAATTATTAAATAACGACGACAAAAATGTAAACAAAACTCTACAGTAAACTACATAGTTGTTTCGGAACCGGTTGAGAAAAGAAAAATTTATCTTATCATCGAAAATAAGTAATCTTGTTCAATTATTAGTTTCTATTTTCTCATTATTCACAAAGATTGTTTGCAGATTTTTGGAATATTATTAAAAAGACGACATTTGACGAATTTGAAGAAATCTGCGAATAAATTGAAAGAAAATAAGAAATTCAGTATAATGATGAAAACGAAATAATTTATTCTAGCATTGATTTATTGACAAATCTCTTTTGAGAAATATGTTCCCAAGCATTTAATTTGATTAAGGCTTGATTTTTACTTTATTTTTCGTCGTCTTTATTTAGTAATTTAAAAAACTGATTCTGAAATCGTATTCATCCCCAAAGTAGGAGTTTTGAACGTCGAATTTGCGCTCAAACTCAGGATTTACAGATCTTGAAAAAGTTTTATTTTATTAGAACCAGACAGCTATGAAAAGTTTAATGATTTTTAAAGACGGTTTCACAACTCCTTGGCTTTTGATTTTACGTCATGATCTCATTTATACTTTTTTGTAGCCCTATACATGTACATTTTATACTACTTCTACTTATTTGTAATTCAGAAATGTTATTGAACACTGATTATATGAGGCCAATTGTGATGGAGAGTGGGATTTAATATTTTAAACACTTTTATCTGGGCTGCATTGGCTGGAAATATTGTTGTTTACTTTTGCATTTTGATTGGCTGAAGAAAAAAAGCAGTTTTGAAAGTGAGAGCGCATTGATATTTTACGACAATCAAATCCAATAATAATACATTTCTTACAGTACAGATGTCAAGTCAGAAATATATTTTTTATAGATGTAAAAATTATTTAATCTATTGTTCAAAGAAGTTCTGTGGCACAAATCTTTAATTGAAAACATTATTTTAACCAATTTTTTCTCCATCTCTCCAGATCTGATCCCTCTTAAGCTGTCAAATTAACTCAATTATAGCAATTTTTCTCTTTTAATTTAGCAGCCAAAAGAATAAAGAGAAAATAGTTTGCTAACTGAGGAATTATAAAGAAAACTATGAGGAATAGATACATTATATTATATTTCAAGAAAAGAGGAATATTTTATTGTTATCTTAAATTGTAATTCCGCCTTCCTTCGCAAAATGATATTCGTGCCTTCTGCTTTTCTTACTTTATCCTGGTTTGATATAAGGCCGCTTGAATTTTCATGTTATATGTATCTCATACAAACTCTGCGTTCTCCCTCTTCTTTATGGAATATCCTGCATGATATGTACTTTGTTTAATATCAAACATGCTGTAATTTCAAAAATAAAAAAATGATTATTGATTTAGCCAGAACCCTTTATCGTGCTTATGTTATACATAGACAATAGACATACACCACGTTAAACTAAAGTAAAATTCTCGTAAGATTAAAATAAAAAATGTTTTATTTAATCAAAACCATCATAATCATCATAACAAGATAAATTTGCTTTTTTCATAATTATGCGTAAAAGCAAAACTAGTGGAGAAATGAGGTCACAAAGTGGTAGGTCAGTAATGTAGAAGGAATTTTACCTTTTACTCTTGTTCACTGTGACACATACATCGGTCAAAATTCATCAACATTCCCTTATAAGTCTTGTTTTTCCTTAAATAAGAGCTAAAACTAATCTTGAATAAAAAATGTCTGTCAAAACATAATGAGAATCATACATATAGTGCAAGTACGCTACTGCATTAAAAACTCGATTTTTGGGTAAAATTTATTTATGTTACTTTGTTAAAGTTGATTGAGTAAGATTATTTGCGAAAGGCGCAAAGCATTTTTTTTTACATTTTTTCTTTTAATGGACATGGAGAATGGAGATCAAGTTACTAAACGGGGATGTTTGTGTCCCCAAGATTCTAGGGGGGGGGGGGGGTAATTACCCCAAGGATTCTAGGAGGGGGTAAGTAACCCCAACAACCCCCCTTATTTACACCACTGAAAGCTGCATTACGTAAGAAGATATTTTAAAACTATATGTTGCATGTAAGAGCGTTCACAAACTTCTTATATGGTTAGAAAATTAAAATCTTTAACCCTATCTCGATTGGGAGGGGGGGGTCCACTCCCCCTCCTCGTGTTTTTTCTTAATAACTTTAAAACGGTTGACGGGGGGAGGACAGTTAAATGGCGGGTTGGTGTTTCAAACAAAAAGTCAGAAATAGTTAATAACTTTTTTAATAATTAAGCTTCAAGGGCTAGAATTTATATATTTGATAAGCTCTTGAAAAATGTTGTACCACGTGTCTCATGTAAATATTTTTCAAAAGTAAAAATATTTATTTTAGAACATTTTTCCGACTTATTTTTTAAATTTTTTATGCATAGGGTACCGGGTGGAGGACAGTCAAACTGCGGTTTGGTGTTTTCGACGTACTTTATATATAAAAAAGACTCCCTTGCATCCTATCCATTAATGATAGAGGTCCAATTTTTTTAATGAGCAGCCGTGAAAAGTTGGACTTAGGACATGTATCACACTCCCCTATCTCAAGAATCTCAAATCTAAGGGCAAAATCAATCTATCTATATTTGACAAAAATAGCCCAATCGGGATATGGTTAAGAAGAAGTGTGAAATTAAAGTTGATGATGAAAAAAGTATAACTATAAAATTATATAAGATTGCTAGAGAGCAGCCTATTGGCCAACAAATGATAATACAGGTTTCGGAATGATACAGGATACAGAATACAGATGATACAGGTTTCGGAATGATACAGGATACAGAATACAGATTTGTACAACTTATTTTGTATTTTTCTCAAATATTTGACAGTTGTACTGCAGTATAACTAGATCTGTTAAACATGTCTTGACTATAACGACTACTTTCAGTAAAACCTGGTGGCCTTG